CTCAACAAGATGGACTGACACAGTGGCAGCAACAATGGGCTAAAGCATAACAATGGTGCGGATGCAGGAGGGGCAGCGTTTTGTTCTGTTGTACATAAGGTTGCTATGAGTCGCAACTGACTTGACAACACATAACAACAACTAACAACAAGAGGAGGTGATAATATTTTCCTGTTTAATAAAAGTAGATATTGCTTTGTAGTCAGAAAGAAAAAAAAATTTTCAAACACAATCCATTCATTTACATCACTAAATCCACAGGTATCCTCTAAATGCCCATCACTCTGCTAGGCACTGGAGAGGCAGATATAGTCCTTAGCCCCAAATTAGCTTATGGTCCAGTAGGGGAGAAAGAGAGTAAATACATAATTTCTCAAATAATCAATTATGGAAGAACAAACTACAAACAACTCAGAATTTTTGTAGGAGTTTCACCTGAGTTATCTTCTATTTTCTTTGCTATCTCCTTACAAAAAGAACACCTACCTTTATTTATCTGTTAATAAGGAACAATACAACAAAACTTTAAATTTTAAAAGGATATTATAATTCTCCGAGCATTATCATATTTCTATTTATTTGTTCTTCACAATAGCCTTGTGCTGTATATTATGCTATCTATGCACCATAGCCTATATGGTCATAATTAATGAAAAATCACATTATAGGACCTTTTAAAGACCAACAAATTAAATCTCAAAACTACCCCTTATGAACTAGTTTAGGAGCCATGGTGGCGCAGTGGTTGAGCACTTTGACTGCTAACCAAAAGGTCTGCAGTTCGAGCCCACAGCTGCTCCGTGAGAGAAAGATGTGGCAGTCTGCTTCCATAAAGATTTCCAGGCAAACCTCAGAGACATTCTGGGTTCGGTTTCAGACCACCACAATAAAGCGAATATCAAAAAAGTGAGTCACACAAACTTTTTGGTTTCCCAGTGCATATAAAAGTTGTTTACACCATACTGTAGTCTACTAAGTGTGCAAAAAACAATGTACATACTTTAATTAAAAAATACTTCATTGCTAAAAAGTGCTAACCATCATCTGAGCTTTCAGCAAGTCATAACCTTTTTGCTGGTAGAGGGTTGCCTTCATGTTGATGGTGATCAGGGTGGTAGTTGTTAATGGTTGGGGTGGCTGTGGCAACTTCTTAAAATAAGACAACAATGAAGCTTGTTGCATCAATTGACTCTTACATGAAAGATTTCTCTGTAGCATGTAATGCTGTTTTACAGCATTTTACCCACAGTAGAACTTCTTTCAAAATTGGAGTCAATCCTCAAACTCTGCCCCTGCATTATCAGCTAAGTTTATGTAATATTCTAAATCCTTTGTCATCATTTCAACAATGTTCACAGCATCTCCACCAAGAGTAGATTCCACATCCAGAAACCACTCTTTGCTCATCCATAAGAAGCAACTCCTTATCTGTTAAAAGTTTTATCATGAGATTGCAGCAATTCAGTCACATCGTCAGGCTCCACTTCTAATTCTAGTTCTCTTGCTACTTCCACCACATCAGCAGTTACTTCCTCCACTGAAGTCTTGAACCCCTCAAAGCCATCCATGAGGGTTGGAATCAACTTCTTCCAAACTCCTTTTGACCTCTTCCCATAAATCACAAATGTTCTTAATGGCGTCTAGAATGGGGAATCCTTTCCAGAAGGTTTTCAGTTAACTTTGCCCAGATCCATCAAAGGAATCACTGTCTATGGCAGCTAAAGCCTTATGAAATGTCTTTCTTAAAAAATGAGACTTGAAAGTCAAAATTATAGAATAGCTGTTGTGTTAGTAGGCACAAAAACAACATTAATCTTGTACATCTCCATCAGAGCTCTTGGGTGACCAGGTGCATTGTCAATGAGCAATAATATTTTGAAAAGAATCTTTTTTTCTGAGCATTAGGACTCAACAGAGGGCTTAAAATATTCAGTACACCAGGTTGTACACAGATGTGGTGTCATCCAGGCTCTCTTGTTACATTTATAGAGCACAGGCAGAGCAGATTTGGCGTAATTCTTAAGGGCCCTAGGGGTTTTCAGAATGGTAAATGAGCATTGGCTTCAACTTAAGTCACCTGCTGCATTAGCCCTTAACAAGGGAGTCACCCTGTCCTTTGAAGGCAGGCATTGACTTCTCCTCTCTAGCTATGAAAGTCTTAGATGGTATATTCTTCCAGTATAAGGATGTTTCCTCTACATTGAAAATGTGTTGTTTAGTGTAGTCACCTTCATCAATTATCTCAGCTAGACCTTCCGGATAACTTGGTGCAGCTTCTACATTAGCACTTGCTGCTTCACCTTTCACTTTGATGTTATGGAGATGGCTTAAACTTCATGAACCAACCTCTGCTAGCTTCAACCTTTTCTTCTGGAGCTACTTCACCTCTCTCAACCATCACAGAATTGAAGAGAGTTAGGACCTTGCTCTGGATTAGGCTTTGGCTTAAGGGACTGTGGTGGCTGGTTTGATCTTCTATACAGACCACTAAAACTTTCTCCATATCAGCAATAAGGCTGTTTCACTTATCATTCATGTGTTCCCTTTTAATTTCCTTCAAGAAATTTTCCTTCGCATTCACAATTCGGCTGTTTGGCGCAAGAGGTCTAGCTTTCAGGGTGTCTTGGCTTTCAAGATTACTTCTTCACTAAGCTTAACCATTTCTAGCTTTTGATTTAAAATGAGAGACATGCGATGTTTCCTTTCACTTGAACACTTACAGGCCATTGTAGGGTTATGAACTGGTCTAATTTCAATATTGTCATGTCTCAGGGAATACGGAGGCCTAAGTAGAGGCAGAGAGACGGGGAAGGGTCAGTCAGTGGAGCATCAGAATACACACAACATTTATTAGGTTCACCATCTTATATGGGCGTAGTTAGTGGCACCTCAAAACAATTACAATAGTAACATTAAAGATCACTGATCACAGATCACCATAACAGATATAACAATGAAAAAGTTTGAAATACTGCTAGAATTACCAAAATGTGACAGAGCCATGAAGTGAGCACATGCTGTTGGAAAAATGGCTCTAATAGACTTGCTTGATGCAGGGTTGCCACAAACATTCAATTTGTAAAAAACACAGTATCTGTGAAGCGCAGTAAAACAAGGTATGTGTGTACAGCCTTAGAAACCCTATGTGGGCAGTTCCACTCTGTCCTATAGGGTCACTATGAGTCAGAATCAATTTAACAGCTATGGATTATGAACTAGTTTTCCCAAATGCTGTATTAAGATAATGCAGCTTTATATTTGCTTCTGAAAATATTAAATTCTGCAGTTTTAGATATTAAGTTAGACATACAGCAAACAGTTCATTTTTATGAATGACTTAGTGTTAAAATCAATATTCAGCTGAAGCTGAAGATCACCATCCTAGATCAAATTCCTGGAATATAACAATAAATGTAAAATTTAATTAAAAATTTCATTATCATTAGGTTATTCAACAATTTAGTAACGAACATTTTAAAATATGACAGTGTAGGAACAATAATTTCTTAACATATCAGCTGCTAGATTGCTGTATCGGTCATCATAACCCATATTTAGGGTACTAAATTAGACACTGACCTACAACTTAGATCAATAGAAGAAAAAGGCATTGTTTGGCTAATTCTGACAATACTGGGCAGTGCTGATGGCAACACTATCATCTCTCTAATAGTCACTGAAGAAAAAATGTATTTTCTCTTCAACTCCTGGTCTTAAAGATTTGATCAATGGTGATGGTGCACTATTACTGAAAAAATCCCAAACGGAAACTGTACACTGTTTGAAGAAATGCTTTCTAAATTTTCAGAAGCAGGTTTTGAATACTGAAGCCAAGTTGAACTTCAGTGCATCCTTGAATAACTTAAATCCTACTCTCAAAAGAATTCAACATTATTTCTTCTTCCTCCCCAAGACTATGTGGGCAAGTCTCAGGGAATTGTAAATAGACCAGAAGTCTGTTTACACATCACCCTCTTCCATATGAATGGAAGATCAAAGGATAGAAAATGTGCTCTTAAACAAAAGGTAACCAGTGAAAAGCCAAGCAACGTTTTGGAACTTAAAAAAAAAGATACCAGGGCAAAAGGCATTAAAAATCTGGTTTGAAATATTTATAATGCGTTAAATCAACATAACACGAAACTTGTCACAGAATCTACTTCAACAGATAATGATGTAAAAGCAATGAATCCTGCAACAACAACAATAATTTAAAAAAAAAAACAAAAAACAGGAGATGATTCAGAATCAAAACTGAAGAAAATTTAGAGGCAAGATGATTTTTTTTTTGGTTTTGGTTTTTTAACAGACAATAATTTGGCTTGTTTGGAAAGCAGAACTTTTATTTATAGATTTAATGCCATTTTAACTGTCTTCCCATAATCCCTATTTTCAAAGAAACCTTGATCTTTCCAACTATACTGTTGTCCAGCATTATACTTTTTAGGAATCTAATTTACCCTCATTAGTGGCAAGGAATTCCTTCATCACACAGTTCTCTGAAATTTTATGTAAAATATGCAGAAATCAAAGAAAAATAATTTTCATTATTTCTCAAGTTCTCTAGTTGTAGCCACCTCCTGGTTGATTAACACAGTTTTAGAACTCTAGCAATTCAATGAGCTACATATTCTTGTTACAGGTACTGGGGAAACATAATTTATCCAAAATTTCTAAATTAGTTCCATAACTCTCCCATCAGCATATGTAATGACATTATATATCTTCTAATGATGTGCCAAAGTCAAATAAAAATCTACATTTTATTTGAAAATGTCATTTATACAGCATAAAAAGTTTTGATACACTTTTACTTAATACTTTTTCTTAAATTTATAGCAATATTAGAAAATTAAATAATCATAATCAACATTATAGCTAGAGTATCTGCATACAAAACAGTACTAACCTTAGTAAATAAAGGATTTTCCAAATCTAAATACTTCGTCTCAAATTCTAAGCCATAAAATCAAAAGATACTGAGGAAAAGGGAAATTTACCTTTTGAGTTCTTGTCTTCTTTTTGTATTACAGTATAGAATATCTGTATGATCTGATTTCTGAAAGAAAAAATGTATCATTTATAATACAGATTGTACACTGGTACTGTGGGTGCAGGTAAGGAGATTTGGAGACCATATTTTTTCCCGTACTTATGTGTTAGCAAATAGGCTCAACATAATTTACTTAATCCTCCCAATAATCTTGTGAGACAGATATTTTTTATATCTGTATTTTGCAGATATATAAAGCACCTAAGGCTCAAACAGAGCTAAGTATCTTGCTCAATGTCACAGAGTTAGTCAGTAGCAGTACCATAATTTGAAACTAGATCTGCCTGACTCTCTCTACTCTACATCTTGTCTCTCTGTATACTCTGGGGATACAGGACTAGGCTCAAGAAAGATGACAGAAATAAGATACAGTCCCTGTCCTAAAGAGCTTATAGTAAGGTAAAAGGATAAGGAAGGGAAAAGGAAAAGTTTATGTACAAATAATCATCCTATCATAAGGATATGACTAAGTGTCAAAGAGGAAGAAAAGACAGTAAGTGCTAAAGGAGTTCAAAAATATCAAACACCAAAAGATGGAAGGTTCCCAGGGAAAAAAAGGTGGGCAAAATACATGTCAATGATTGAAAGATGGGTAAAAGAGAAAGGCATTCTAAGAAGCTGGAGACGACTGGTATAAATTCAGCAGAGAGAAAATAAACCAGCCTAGCTAGACACAGAGGAACTCTTTCAAAGAAGAAGAAATTAAAAAAAAGGAAAGTTAAGGTATGACCAAATTTAAGAGGGTCCTGAATGACAAACTAAAAAGTGAGTGAAGGTTTTACAGAAAAGATATAATAAAATCAACGTTTTAAGGAGGTTAATACAGCAACAATGAGCCCTGGTGGTTCAGTGGTAGGCTGCTAACTGAAAGGTTGGCAGTTCAAACCCACCAGCTGCTCGGCAGGAGAAAGATGTTGCAGTCTGCTTCCCTAAAGATTTATAGCCTTGGAAACCTTATGGGACAGTTCTATTCCAACGTATAGGGTCACTACGAGTTGGAATAGACTCCCCAACAACAGGTTTGGTCTGGTTTAACACAGCAACAAGAAAGTGGAAACAGTTTACATGAAAACAAACAAAAGTAAGTTTGTAAAAATGCTAGGTAGCTATCCTGAATATACACTTCAGTTTGAATGTGGCAAGTACTTCACCATTCACCAGGGTACTAGTTAATGTGTTTATCTGTTGCTACTGTTTCCAATTATTTGTATGAGAATGGAAAGAACTCTGGACTTGGCTCTGTTGCTGTATGCAATTTTGTGTCCTTGGAAAAGTCACTTAATTTCCTGGGTCTCAATTTCCAAATCTAAAAATGTAAACAATATATCTGTCTTGGCTACCTCGAAAGGAGATTATAAAGAATCAAATACAGCTATATAAAATTTAAAAATGTCTCCATTTATATCCATTGTTGTCTCCTCCCACATGGCAGAGTCTATTAGAACATGAAAGAAAGAACTTGATAAATGCTTTTTATAAGTATAGGAAAAAAAATCAAACATTGGTTTTCTTTCTACTGGCTATTAAAAAGTAAGTACAAATAACACAAGGAAACAATTAATGGAAAAGTACTGGGAGGAAATTTATATTATAAAGCCCTTCACTGCATATTAAAACTTTAATACAAACCATTTTTAGAATTAGTTATGGTATCTAAACACTCACCAGTTTTCTCTTCTCTGAAGAAACTGATCTTATAGAGTAAGCTGAATTAGCAGAACTTGAAGTTTTTTTCTCTTTCTTATCCTAAGAATGTCATTTGGGAAAAAACAAACAAGAAAAGCATAGTATAAAATAACATTATTTCATCATTATCATTATAAATCAACATTCCTTCTATATTCAATAATAAACTTCAGAGGGGAACAATTCTAAAGACACACAAACTTTGGCATGAGGAAGGGAGACTCAACTAGAAATTAGGAGACCTAGATGCTCTTGAATCTAGAGATGACGTGGAAACAGGTGTTACAGAGGAGGCCAGCTAACAACTCAGATAAGAGCACTGTGATGTAGCATTGTCATGGTGGGATTCAGTCTTCAACAAAGCTGTTATAAATTGAATTATGTCCCCCAAAAAAGTTTGCTGAATTCTTAACCCCTGGTACCTGTGAAAATGATCTCGTTTAGAAATGAAATCTATGAAGATGTTATCAGTTAAATTTACATGAGGAATTTAACTGGTAGCACAGTGGTTAGGCACCCAGCTGCTAACCAAAAGGTTGGCAGTTCAAACCCACCAGCCACTCCACGGGAGAAAGATGTGGCAATCTACCTCTGTAAAGATTACAGCCTTGGAAACCCCATGGGGCAGTTCTACTCTGTCCTCTAGAATAGCTAGGAGTCAGAATCTACTCAATGGGTTTTTGGATACTGGAATAGGGTGGGTCCAAATCCAACTGGAGTGTTGTCCTATAAAAGAGGAGAACAGACACAGGGAACAGAGGAAAGTTGGCCATGTGAAGATGTATCTACACTTCACGTTACACCTAGGGCTACCAGAAGCTGGAAAAGCAAGAAAGGATCTTCACCTAGAGCACACAGAGAAATGGTTCTATCAATATCCTGAATTCAGACTACTAACCTCCAGAGCTGTGAGACAATAAATGTATGTTGCCTTAAGCCACCCAATTTGTGGTACTTTGTTACAGCAGCCGTAATACAAAAGCAAAACCATATATCCTGTTATTTTTTAGTGAATTCTCAATTCAGTAAGTCCAAGGCAGTTTAGGAGCCCTGGTGGTACAACGGTTAAGTGCTCAGGGGCTAAACGAAAATTGGCAGTTCAGACTCACCCAGCGGCTCTGCAGGAGAACAGACTTGGCGATCTGCACCCATAAAGATTACAGCCTAGGAAACACTAAGGCGCAGTTCTACTGTCATATAGGGTCACTATGAGTTGGAATCAGCTCAATGTCACACAACAATAGGGTGGTCTACTCAAACTAACCATTCATTCAACAAACATTTTAAGTGTCTATCCCGTACTAAAAACATTCTAGGCAGTGGGGACAGAATATAATGAAAAAAACAATAAAAGTCCCCACCCTCATGGAGGTTAAAGTCTAGCGCAGGAATTTATAAATAAACAAGTACAGTATATTTACACAAATAGTGCGGGCCTTCTATGCTTGTTTGCCAGCGACGCCCTCTCCCCAGAGGTATTTTCGTAAGGCATGCTATGCTAATTTTTTTTTTTTTTTAACAGCAACATGTGAAATAAATTGGCATAGCGGTGCTTATGAAAATATCTCACAGAGGGGAGCGCATAGCTGGCAAACAAATGTAGAAGGTGTATTATCTGTGCAAAAATACAGTAATACATTTAGTATGTCAGATGATGCTATAGAAAAAATTGAAGCAGAGAAAATGAACAGGAAGTGCTGGAAATTGGGGGCAGTAGGAGTTGTAACTATAAATATAAAAGTCCTCACTGACAAGTTGACACATAAATGGAGACCTGTGGTGAAATGAGTTCATTTATGTGGCCTTTTGCCTTGGTCCTTTGGAAAAACAGCTTGAGAGATTTTCCCTCTAAGACCTGAGGAGTTACCTTTGTCCCAGTTTTCTACTTTAGAGGGTTTGTTATTTTTGTCCAGATTGAGTGACACTTCCTGGGAAAGCTGTAAAAGACTTGGTTTTTATACTTTCTGTCTAGGCCTGGGCTGTACCCTACCCTGTGACTGGTATGCACCTTGCAGGGATTGGTCAACAGATTATGCAAATGAGGTGACTATAGCCTACTATGAAAATGCAGTGTCTGTGGCCTACCAAGACAGAAATGGTCAGTTTGTGGCCCTGCTGGGAGGGGCCTGCCTTGAAATTGACAAGGAGTTGCCAGAAAGGTTTTGCAGACAAAAAGAAGCAGGAAAAGAAGCCACAGCACAGAAGCAGAAGGAAGAGTGAGGAGACAAGGAACCTCCTAAAAGAACTGTAACATGGGTCAAGGACAGTAACACTGAAGACAGCAAGAGGCCCAGAAAGGGCCTAGCACCAGAGCCAGTGGCAACAGGCCTGGAAGGGGCCCTGCAACAGAGTTGGTGGTGACAGATGACAGGACCAAGAGGAACCTGTCCTGAGGGGGCAGAGAGGAGCCTGTCCTCAGGGGCCAAGAGGAGGCCTGCACAGCCAAGAGAAGCTGAAAGAGCTGTCCTGCACTGAAGAAGGGAGAGGTGTGCTCTCCACTTTGGGGGAGCCTTCCAGATTTTGCCTAAATGTTTCCTGATCCTGATCCTGAGCTGTAGCCTGTTGATCCCGAGTTGTACCCTGTTGCTTCCTTAATAAACCACTTAACTATAAGTATGGTCTGTGAGTTCTGTGTGGCCACTGCAACAGCTTATTAAACCCAGAGAAGAAAGTGTTGTGGGAGGGACGGCTGGTGTCAGAATTGGTAAAAAGTCTGGAGAGTGGAGGAGTTATGTCTGACTTCCACCTCACAGGGATCAGCCTTAGGCTGATCTTGATTCACATATCCCCCCTGAAATTAGGTTCTTACAGTACTACTCCCACCATTTTACAGGACCTAAATGAAGTGAAAAAACAAACCATACAAGTATCTAGAGAGGAAAAGAGTTTTCATTTCAAAGAGAACAACAGCAAGGGCAAAGCCCGAGTCAGAAATGTGCCTGGACACTTGAAAGGTTAAAGAAGATGAGGAAAAACCAACTAAAGACACTGAGAAGGAATTGCCAGTAAGGCAGGAGGAAAATCAGGAGAATATGGTATCTTAAAATGTGTCATGGATTGAACTGTGTCCCTCAGAAATATGTGTCAACTTGGTTAGGCCATGATTCCCAGTACTGCGTGGCTGTCTTCCATTTTGTGATTGATATAATTCTGCCTATGTGTTGTAAATCCTAATCTCTGCCTGTGGTTAATGAGATAAGATTAGATTATATTAAAGAGGAAGAGGATTAGGGTGGGATGTAACACCCTTGCTCAGGTCACATCCCTGATCCAATGTAAAGGGAGTTTGCCTGGGGTGTGGCCTCTACCACCTTTTATCTTACAAGAGATTAAAGGAAAGGGAAGCGAGCAGAAGTTGGGGACCTCATACCACCAAGAAAGCAGCACCGGGAACAGAGCATGTCCTTTGGATGTGGGGTAGCTATGCCTGAGAAACTCCTCAACCAGGGGAAGATTGATGACAAAGACCTTCCTCCAGAGCTGACAGAGAGAGAAAGCCTTCCCCTGCAGCTTAAATTTGGACTTGTAGCCTACTAGACTGTGAGATAATAAATTTCTCTTGTTAAAGTCATCTACTTGTGGTATTTCTGTTATAGCAGCACTTAATAACTAAGAGAAAAGGTAAATGAAGAAAATGTTTCAAAGAGGAGTAATCTGCTATGTCAAATACTGCTGACAGGTCAAGTCAGATGAGGTCTGAGAATTAACGACTGGATTTAGCAATATGGAAATCATTGCTGACCTTGATAAGAATTATATATAGTGGAGTGGACAGAAAGAAAAGGTCTGATTAGAGTAGGTTTAGGAAAGAATGGGAGAACTGCAAAGAGCACATCAATTATTAGTGTCAAATGAGGGATACAAATGAAGGATACCAGAGCACTGGGTGGCCACGCTGCAGGGTTCCCTTTCCAATTATCACTATAACTATGCCTGGGAGGCGAAATTAGTAATCAGAAGGTTAGTAAGTAAGCAAGAAATAAAGGCCAAAAAGTCTAATGATCTCTGGAATACTTTATCTATGCCACAAAAAAGCTTTATGAACTAACCCCCTAACACAGAAATCACTAGTGAGTATTCACATTTTTAGAGTTAGTATCTCATCTTGGACGGTAATATAGCATGAACACTGTCTAATTCTGATGATGAACTATGCAGACTATTCAGAAGGTTTCTAATATAACTGATTACAGAGTTTTCTGTTTATTAGGTTATGTTACATCAATTGCATTGCAGCCTTGCTACCTGGACACAAAATCGAGCTCAATTAATGAAATATCCTAAATCTCCTCTACTGAAACACTTCTTAAGTCTGTTTGCTGAAAGCGACAGAGAAAGGAACATGGTGAACGTGCCTTCCCTACTCCTAACTTCCCTCCCATAGGGATAGCCATTCTGATCAATGAAAGCACAATCCTATCCATCAGCTGGGGCAAGGGGAGGTGAACACTGAGATAAGGTGGAAAATGGTCTAATGATGAGTTATTTCTATGAATGGGAGAATTTGGGGGCTTAGAATTGAAGCTGGGAAAGCCTAGGCAAATTATTTAACTCTCTAAGCCTTTGTCTACGAAAGTGGGATAATAGTACCTACCTCATAGAGTTGTGAGAGAATAAATAAAATAATGCAAGTAAAGAATGGGGAAACAACTGATTTTTTCTAGGCCAGATGGGCAAAACAAAGTATTTATGTGTTGTTTAAAAACTGAGGGTTTTTTTCAATTATTATTATAAAAAAATCAACTGTAAAAAAACGAATCTTTAGGTCAGTAAATCAAAATTCTTACTTCTTCCTCAAAGTTAGGTGATGAGGTGGTGCCTTTTCTCCGAGACTTCTCCTTTTTCCCACAAGACTCTTTGTTGGACATTTTTAAAAGCTAAAAGAAACATTAAAATACATTATAACCTATCCTTCTTTCAGCTATATAAATATTAGCATGTTACAAAATGATTTCCATTTTCTAAGCATTCCCAAGATTATAGGCTTCTCTCATTGTTTTTCTTTTTTTCTTCATTTGTAGTCTCTCTTGTAATGATCGGAGGCATCCTCGTGGTGCAGTGGTTAAAGCGCTCAGCTGCAAACCATAATGTCAGCAGTTCGAACCTACTAGCCGCTCAAAGGGAGAAAGATGTGACAGTCTGCTCCCGTAAATATTTATAGTCTTGGAAATCCTATGGGGCAGTTCTACTCCATCCTATAGGGTCCCTGGGAGTCGGGATCAACTTCAAGGCAGTGGGTTTGGTTTGGTTTGGTTATAATGATCTGTCCTCTCCTTCAGCTTTATCAATTACCTTTTCAGGAATGATTTCCAAAACTATGTCTTTAGCCCTGACTTCTCTCTCAAGCATCAGATCATCATTTTCCACTAACTGCAGGACTGCTATATTTTATCCTGCCTACACCTCAAAACCAATTAATCATAAATCTTCATTTTCCCCACATACCCTGTCACTCACTAACTAAGTGAGACACTGGGCAAATCACATACATTTTTTTGAGCCCTAGTTTCCTTATTTGTAAAGTAGAGATATTAACCCATCCCAGAGCGCTTTTGGAAACCCTGGTGGTGTAGTGGTTAAGAGCTATGGCTACTAACCAAAAGGTCGGCAGTTCAAATCCACCGGGTGCTCCTTGGAAACCCTATGGGGCAGTTCTACTCTGTCCTATAGGGTCTCTATGAGTCAGAATCAACTCAAAGGCAATGAGTTTGGTCTTTTGGTTTGGACACAAGTCTATTGTTAGATATATGAATTACAAATACCCTCTCCCAATCTGGCAGTCTGCTTCCACAGAGATTTACAGCCTTGGAAACCCTATGGGGTCACTATGAATTGGAACTGACGCAATGGCAGTGAGTTTAGAGGGCTTTTGAGGGACTTGAATGAAGCAATGGAAGTAAAAAGTACCTTGCACAGTATAGTACACCAAACCAAACACACCGCCGTCGAGTCGATTCCAACTCCTGGTGACCACATAGGACAGAGTGGAACTGCCCCATAGGGTTTCCAAGGAGTGCCTAGTGGATTCGAATTGCCAATCTTTTGGTTAGCAGTCAAACTCTTAACCACTACACCACCAGGGTTTCACAACGGGGTCTAAATAAAATGTATTGAATATAAAAATGACTTCCCTACTTAAAACTATTTGATGGTTCTATATGTGGAAGGAGTAGCTTGGAAAAAAAGAAGGCAGGAGCCAGACTGGGTAAGTAACAGCCAACATAACGCTAATTTCCAAAATGTGAAGAGAACTCATATGCCCATTTCATCATTCTGACACTAGCCATCCACTTGGCACTCTTTCTCTCTCTGTCCCTAACCACCCAGAGTTGGGTCTTCACAAGTTAGGACTCTGTTCTTCCAGCCTCTGCCAAATACACAAATGCTAGGCTCTCTGCTGGCTCTCACTGCCCCTGGTGGATTTGATAATTCGTTAGAATGACTCACAGAACTCACGGAAATTATTAGGTATGCTTATAGTTACCCATTTATTATAAACGGAAAGGATACAAGCATACAGACACATCAGGCAAGGTCTGGGAGAAGTCTTAGCGTGAGACTTCCATTGTCCCTGGGAGCGTGCCACTCCCTCTCCTGTGAATGTTCTCCCCAAGCCCGGAAACCCCAAAGAGAGCTCTGAAGTCCAGAGTTCCCTCGTCATTAGGACCTCAATGAATATACATGACTTGTACCTTAATGTATTAATCCAATACTGAATATGCATCATGACCCTTCCCTTCCTGAAGGTGTGGGGCCTGTGTAGCCCCTACTTGCCTGGCTATTTTGGAAAGACAAAGAGCTCCTTAATTGCTCAGGCTATTTCCAGAAAACAGAGACAAAAAGCCAAATTAGTTCTTTGTCCCACATAGATCATTATAAAATAAGCTAAGCAGACAAGATGTCCCTCTGTCATGGAACTTATTTTTAGTAGGGGAGAGAAAATTTTAAAGACAAATAAACAAAACAAACAAACATAACGACAAAAATAAGCAGGGTGCCTCACCAGAGAATAACAAGGGGTGTTGGAACGGCGATGGTAGCCAACTGCATAACTCTTACAGAGAAGTGGGGCCAAGGAGGGTCACTCCGAGGAGACGACCCAGGTTTCAGTCCCAGGAGTTTATTTATAGTCAATACAGCAAATAGTGAAGCAAACACAGAACAATGGGCTTTGGGTGAATAACAATAAGTTTCGGGCAAGGGAGAACAGGTTTCAGGTAAACAAGTCAATTAGTAAAGGAACAGTAGGTTTTGGGGAAACAGGTCGTGCCTAATCTCTTTCTCATCCCTGACAAGTCTCAAGACATTGTTTGCAGCATATGGGCCCTTGAGGGGCTGAAGTTTGCATCCATATTTCAATGGCACATATCCCCACAAAGGGGAATTTACCTTAGAAAAGGTAATCAGGAAAGAGTTCTCTAAGAATATATAAACGAGATTTCAAGTACAGGAGACAGTATGCACAAAGGCCCTGAGGTAAGACAATGGTTGGCATATTCTTAGGAACTGGGAAAAGACCAAGATGACAACCATATGGTAAGCATAAGATGGGGCATAAGACAGAAAAGTAGGCAGGGGCCTAATCACACAAGGTCCTGCAACTGTCTCCAGTACATATCCCAACCACTATCTCCTCACCCATTCCCACACTGCTGCAAATTATTTTCCTAAAATTCAAGTCTGATCATGCCACACATGCCTCCCCATTTCCCACCCCTAAACACAAACATTTGTTGACCAAATCTCTGGAACGGATTCAAGTTTCTTCGCAACCTAGCCCCAACTTACCAACTTACCTCCTCTTGCCTCACTTCCCACTACTTCCTCCCAACAAGAAATGCTGCAACCACACTTAAAGTTGCACTTCCCTGAACACATTCTCATCACATCTCTTCAACTCTGCAAGCAATGACATCTGCCCTTTCTCTCCCTGGAGAAAGCCTCTTCATTCACTAAGACCTGGCTCAAATCTCAGTGAAGCTCTCCCTGATACTAACAATATATCAGTAATTCTAACATGCATTCTCAGAGCGCTTATCCCTGTATTATACAGGCTTACACGTTGTCTTTCTCACTAGACACTGAGCTCCTTGAAGACTACGCCATATTAATATTTTAGTACCAAACCAAACCAAACCTGTTACCGTCAAGTCGATTCTAACTCATAAAGACCCTTAGGACAGAGAAGAACTGCCCCACAGGGTTTCCAAAGAGTGGATGGTGGATTCACTGCCGACCTTTTGGTTAGCAGCCAAATGCTTAACCACTGCGCCACCAAGTGCTCATAAATGCCTGACGAGTGAATGAATGAGTGAATTCTTCTGTAGCTCCTAATTCACTCTTTCATTCTGAACCACTTTCAACTCTTGCCCATCCCAGTTTCTCTGTCCACTTCCCATCCCCGTCCAACTTGTCAGCCCTGCTCTGGATCAAGTCAATACTGTTAGCTACCGACAAGGAAAACGATAAGAAAAAAACAGCCATAGCCTATGGTCATAAATAGGTTCAAGTTAGTGTACCAGCAGTATCCTTGTCAGTGACGGAAGCCAGAGACTGGAAACATAACCAGGTCTGTTGAGGGGAGAAAGATGAAAAAGGGGTCTAGAAGCAAGAGTCCAGTGCTAGCAGTGACACACTGGGTCTGTGAACATAACAAAGACTAGAAACCAAGCAATTCCAATTACTCCTGGTCAAAGATGATCAAAAAAAGTGAAATTCTATAGAAGAATGACCGATTAAACTTGAGTTAGAAGTTAAAATTGGAACCATTATTCCCTGCCGAGTATAAAGAATGTGACCCAGCTGGAGCTGGACACACAAGGACTGTCGCAGCGGCGGCGAATGTCGGGGCGGCGGAGACAATAACCGATTCCACAACTCTTACAGAGAAGTGGGGCCAGGAGGGTCACTCTGAGGAGTCGAATCCCGGCTCCAGTCCCAGGAGTTTATTTATAGTCAATACAGCAAGCAGTGAAGCAAATAACAGAACAATGGGCTTTGGGTGAGTAACAAGTTTCGGGCAAGGGAGAAGGAATTCAGGTAAACAAGCCAATCAGTAACAGGACAATAGGTATGGGAAAACAAGTCGTGCCTAATCTCTTTTTTATCGCTGACAAGTCTCCAACATGTGGTATACAGCATAGAGGCCTGTGGGGGCTGCAGTTGTCAATAGTGCAGCCATGTTTAAATGGCATATATCCCCACGTTTCCCCCCTTTTGTTTAGTTAATGGAATAAGAATCAAGAGGATTTTCACTGGTCCAACAAATGCCCGTTAGGATAAAGTAAAATTTTCTGTACCAGATAAAATCCAAGATTATCTCAGCTATTGTCTCCTCACCTCAGGGCCTGGCATCTTAGTGAGTCCTTGTGAGCCCAGCTACAGCTGGGGCACACTTCATATGTTTAAGGAGGAGAAGTAGCATAGCTATGAGTAACACCTGGACTTAGTCGCCTAGATGGCGGCTATGGCAAGCTCTTTAAACTCACGGTGCTGGTTTTCCACCGGATACCATCTGGTTCTTCACCAGGTTATTACTTAATGCCTGGGCTTAAGTCTCCTAGATGGCAGCCGTAGCAGGCTCTTTAAACTCACGGTGTTGGTTTTCCACTGGATACCATCTGGTTCTTCACCAGGTTACTAAGTAAGAGCGATGCTCTTATCAATTGCATAGCCGGAGTGAGCGGACTCAATGTGCCTTTCAGGTGTGTAAGACAATACAGGATGATCTTATGAGGATAATATAATCCTCTGCACTAGTAATATCCTGATTGTTGGACCCATGGGTTTCCTCTGACTCTCATTTTGTCAGGTAAACACTAACTTTTAACATCCACTGAAATTATTATTCTTAAAGGGTTGAAGATTTATAAAGGCTCAAAGATTCATTAACAATCAAACAAGCAATGATTTACACAGCTTTACTATTACTTGGAAGGGAATCACTAAGAAGGGCAATTTATACATCATAACACATTTAACAATCAAACAAACACTGATTTACACAAATTTACTATCAGTTGGAAAGGAATCATCTAACTCAGCAATCTATCTATACAGAAGCATCTAACTAGGAGAAGCAGAAAATATAGAGGAGTTTACACATAACAAATTTTCATTGGGAACTTACTGATTAACAAATTACCGATTAACAAGATAATATAGGATGACTATTGAGGATTGATTATCACGAGGGAAACCACAGCTAGAAACAGCTTTTCAGGTGTAAGTGGGGCACCTGCAGTTGAGAGGATATGCTCAGCTTCGGAGGAGAGGGCTTTCAGACCTCCCCATGTTACCGGTATTGCAGAGTTTTGTTGGTCATTCTCCTTCCCCAGGGGAGGGGGTGATGGTGTCAGCTGTGGCTCTAGAGTCGGATCAGATGGCAGCTCCGACAGCCGCAGCAGGGGCGGTGGCGGCGGTTCCCAGCGGAAGGGTGGTGGCTGTCGCTGGGTCATGATATGGTTTTGCTAATTGGGCGGGAATCCAAAGTGGACCTGTGGGAGACAAAACAGCCGCATACCCTCGCCCCCAGGTTAATAATTCCACAGGTCCTTGCCAGACAGAGGGATTTTGAGGCTCTTTCTAGAGGACCTGTGGGCGAGGTCAGGTGTCAGGGGGGATAAAATGTCATTCTGCAGGGGTACGACCATCTTTGGCAACCAATAAAAAGTTAAAAGTAAAGAGAGCTTTGGCAAGTCTTTCATTCTGGTCACGTACTCTAGACCCGTCATCTCCCCCCTTTGGTTTATTTAAGAGCTGTTTGAGAGTATGATGGGCACGTTTAATTATGGCTTGACCTTGAGGGTTATAAGGAATGCCAGTGGTATGAAGAATATTCTAAGTGGCACAAAATTGTTGAAATTTAGCAGAAGTATGTGCAGGACCATTATCAGTTTTAAGAGCTTGTGGACATCCCATAGTTGCAATGGCTTGGGTGAAATGATGACAGGCATGAGCAGAATGTTCCCTAGAAAGGGCTGTGGCATAAAGAAACCCAGAATATGTATCTATGGATACATGGAGATATTTAAGTTTCCCAAAGGGAGGATAGTGTGTTACATCCATTTGCCACAACTGATTGGCTACTAGACCACATGGGTTAACGCCAGCAGCAAAGGACGTGGGAGAAAAGCGTCGGCAGTCACGACAGGTGCGAACAATATGTTGTGCTTCAGTAAGGGAGGCAGAAAATTGTTTTTGAAGTCCACGTGCATTTTGATGAAAGAAATTATGAGAAGTTCGTGCATTAGAAAAGGCAGAGCCAGCAAGTAAATCGGCGCGAGAACTGCCATCAGAAAGAGTACCCGGCAAGGGTGTATGGGAGCGCACATGTACCACAAAAAAGGGAGAATTACAGCTATTAAGCAGGGTTTGGAGCCTTTTAAATAAATAACTCATAATCGGGACTAAATCGAAGA